GATCGGAAGTATTTCATCTGTGGCCAAAATGAGATCAACAACACTGAATCACCAGTTCAATCTGGCGTAGTCCTCCTTTCAAGTTGGTCCCACGAACGTTTGCTCCGGAGGGGAAAAGTAAAGCCGGTAGTTCCAGAAGAACTATGGACTTGTAACAAAGAGTTGACAATGCGGATCTTCAGGTATCTAAGATCTTCCGCCATTGTGTCCATTTTCCGATGCAGCTGTTTGTTCTGCTGAAGCAGTACTGCCATTCCTGGGGTTTGGAATAAAGGAGCAGATGGTGGGGATAAAACTGGAAACATAGGGATCTCCGGTGCGGTGTTTAAAGCGTACTGTGGCAGACGGTGCACCGTCTGAGGCATCGCATATACGGGCTGGTTGGATGTGGACGGGACGGGTGCAGGATGCTGGGGTATGCGCTCTGGAGTTGAGCAAAACAAGGCACGGGGTGTCGCCTACGAGAAGCTGGGGTAAGGCGGGGATTGTGGCACCATCAACCTTGTTTTTTTCGGTGATCGACTGATGGAGAGGGAGGGGCTTCTTTCTCTGGTATTCCTAAAAGAAGTCTTGACAACACGCACGGTAGTCTTACTTTCGACGAGGACGGTTACGACCCACCTCAACGGTTACATCCGAAGTCTCCAGGTCCGACGTGTACTGGAACTTCCTCTCATGTTCGCGGGCCTTTTTGAACTCGTCTGAAAAGTTAATTCTGTCTATATGACACCTACCGTAAGTCCGAATGACCTCGCAATTCAGCTTCAATGATCCAGCTGGCGGCTGTATTGAAGGCAAACGGCCTTGTAAAGGTCCTTCGAGTAAACTTTTGGTCACGTAGCGCAGTTACCCTCAATCCATGAAGAACTGAGGACTGCACACTGCCATAGACCTTGTTCATGGAACTTTACAAGACTGTAAGCATGATACGGCATATCAAATTATAAAATTATTACGGTATAGAGTGCAAAAGTGGGTAAACTAAAAATAAGCCATTGAATGGAAGCATGGCGCACTTGCATCGCACAAAAGAGAGGGGACAGCTATTTACAACTGTGGACAATTTGTTTACCACAAAAATATTTAGCAAATGAGAATTAACGGGATGGGTGAAAAGTGGTAAAACGGGGGAAAGAAATGAAACATACTTAATTATGCAGTCGGCCGTGTCGGGATGCTCCACCCCTGTCACAATGCGCGGATAACCATCTACCAAAACAACGTTATCCGGGGAACTGGCAGATAAGGCAACTGTACCGAGATTAAAGAAGCGCTTTTTGTGCAGTGATGCTTGTTTCAAAGGTAAGCTCGCATCGCAATCGGCATGGTAATCTGGGGTGTCCTGCAGGCGTCATAAATCTGCCTAACAGGAAACGTGGGACTTTGTACAAGGCGCTTAAGTGTGAACATGTAAGACTCATAGGGGAATGCCTAAAAATTGTCCAGAGGCCCGTGAGACGAGACGTCATCCGGTAAATGCAGCAGACAATGGACATTGTACACCATCTCCTGCAAGCCATACAGTTTTTGGAACTTGTTAACAAATACTAGCAATAATTATCGTGCATAATCAATGTGGGAAACAGAAAAGCGACGATGAGAAAGAAAATACACGGATATAAATAGATCTATGAAATTTTGATAACGTTCATGGGGAAGAATGTCCTTAAACACAATGGGACCAATGTAAAACAGCAGCTGACGAAACTCAGTCGCTTTCCACTGTTTGTACAGTGTAATTTCCCGGCACTTACGCGGGAATTCCACGGGCATATGGGCACGTATATTCCGAATCATCCGATCTACCCTGTTCAAGCCAGCAGGCCCGATGCGTACGGGTCGATCACCGTTGACGAAAATGGAAGCTAATCTACGGACAACACCGAGACATATGGAGTGCATATAATCTATGGGGAAGCAGTGAACGAAATCAATGGGTAACGTAAAGAATGGAGACAAACTGTTTCGAGTATCCCGACGTATACTGTTGTCAGTTCGCAGAACATGCTGCCCATATGGAAACGTTATCTTCGTTTGGAAGTATTGTCCCTTTATGCAGCACTTATCACAACCATAGTAGGAATTGTGTGCTCTCATTCGTGTGACGAAGGAGCGTGCCGGTTTGTCACAAATAATTGCATCCAACACGACCTGATGATGCAGGTCATTAACGACAACTCCCAGACGCAGGAGATCTTCCAGTTCCTGCACTACGTCATGCAGGTATGTACAAACGTCCTCGGGTTTACGAACTCCTCCATAAAGCCCAACAAGGAATACCGGGCTAGTGAAGGGCCGCACAATACGTGCTAGTATAGGCCAGATTACGGTTGTACCGTTATTGTGCAGCTTCATCCCATCTACATTCATATGTAAATGGATAATATGAGATTGGGGTGGCAAGTACATCGGCACAACCCGGCGAAGCCCGTTCGCAATACCCAAGTGGATGTATTCTCCTGGGGAGACTTCTCTAGTTGGACATGACCGGGGTGTTCTCATCAGTGTCTGCGGGTCTCGAGGCAGTTCAGGAAGCTTATGCTGCGATGATACAAGCAGGCGATTCACGGTACTGAAGGGGACATTGGTCGAAATCATCCAGTCTCAGAAAATTTCCGCCAAACTAGGCTGGAACATATTCTTCTCTTCATTATCCACCTCATTTTGTTGTTCATCTAATTAGAACATTAGTCATTTAATGGCATTTTTACTGTGCGCTAGTGAATCGATCTCCTGATCTGCACGTTGAAAGTCGCGCGCGTTCATCGAATTGGGTGGTTGTTCCAGGGCTGATTCTCTAGCACGCTTTGGCTTGTGGTTAGGTGTCCATCTTGAAATGAGCAAACCACGCTTGGAAGGCTACAGTTGTCATACATGTATCAGCAGTCTTGACTTACCATTCCTCCAGATACAAATTCACAAACACGTGGAGACAGCAGGCGCGTGGGTCAGCGACGATCCTGGGAATGGGCTACGCGGCTACGGCCATTTACTTAAACACTGATGCAGATAAACAAAAAAGTGTCAGAACGGGTTTCTTAAAATCTGTTGGAATAATGCACCTTTGTTTTATGCCAACACTTTGTGTGATTAGAAAAACTTATGTGAATAAGTGTGGTAACAACACTTCATGTTTATTGGATGATAGCCACACGGTTAAATAACCGTCAAATAACCGAATTTAACTGCCATATAACCGACTAATAACCGAGTTGTGCTGCTAGGGGTACTATTGCAAATACAATAATAAACATATTCAACAAACCTCAACGGATTCTCCTCCGCAGATACCGTAGGGTTACAAAAATAAGGCGGTACAATTACCAGCCT